AGTTTGTTGGGGCACCAAGGGGAAGGCAAGGCCACACATACGGGTGGGGTGTCACAGGGCCCATCCAAGACACCCACAGTGCCAGACCTCCTGAGCCACTGAGTAGCACCTGGAGGAAGGAAGAGACGCCAGGGGCCGGGCTTGGAGGGCCTTTGTCTGGCGGGCCCTCTCCCCCTCCCTTCCATTCCCATTGTTCCTGGTCTGCTGTGTCTGTGCAGGCGGAGGGCTTCCCAGGCTCGGGAGTGGGTGATGGGTGAGGGTCCAGGCCCCTCCCCCAACTGCCCCTAGCTGAGGCTGCTTTTCAGAAACAGATGCTCCCCAGCACTGCCCTGCCCCCACGGCCTCCACTGGGTCTCTGGCTGCCTGGCTCCCCCTGGTGGTGGCCCGGCTGGGGACCCTGAGGCTGCAGGGGAGGGGCAGGAGCTGGGATGGGGGGGCCGAACCACGGGCTTGGGTTGGAGACGTGGCACCTTCCTGCAGTGGGAGTGGGAGGTGGTGCCTGGGCTGTCTTTGGGGTGGGCTTCCCAGGGTTCACCCTCACCTTCCCCCCGTGCCCCACTGGGGGGGGCTGGTGGAGGGTTGTGGCAGTGGGGGGCAGGCCTGGTGCTGTGGGTTTGAGCTGGGCTGCTTGCCCAAGTCTACCCTGTGGTCACGGCCACTGCTGCTTATGAGAATCTGCCCTGGGCCTGCCACGTCAGCTGGTGACTCTACCGAGCCTTACATGCTCCAGGGGAGCCCACCAGCACAGGAGCCTCTGCTGGAGGCCTTTCCCCACCCCGCCCATCCTCTGAGTGCGGGGCATCAGTGGACAGTGTCCACCATGAGTCTCTAGGGCAGGAAGGAGGCTGGGCTGGGTGGAAGGGAAGTGGTGAACTCAGAGCAAAGAGCCAGCAGAGGAGTGCGTGGCGCTGACTGCCCGCCCAGGTTCCACAAGTCCCGGCAGGGAACCACCGCTGCTGAGTCAGCCCTTAGCTGATGGTCAGCACCCTCCCCTGTGCTTTGTCTCAGAAACTCCCCTTCAAATGCAGTGGCCCAGCAGGCCACACTGCAGGTTGTGGTTGTTGTGACCTGTACAGCGAGGCCCTGGGCTGCAGTGTTCATTTCAAGAGCTTTGGGGAAATCTGTAATCTTCCAAAGGGTAGAAACACCGTGCTAATAACTTTTATCTGAACGCTCTCCATGTGCTGGGCAATATGAGAATAGCTTTGTGTCCAATCCTCAGCCCTCTCCCCGGAGGGGGTAATGGTGGTGTCTTGTTTTACTGATGAGGTGCCAGGAGCGGGCAGGAAGGGGCTGCAGTTCTTGGGGATCTCAGGGAGGACCATCATGGGCACAAGGGCTATGGCAGGTCAGGACCCCCCTCCTCCGGGTGAAGATCTGAAAGTGAAAGATGGGCTGGCTGGCCAGTCGAGGCTTGGCAGTCTCTGTGGAGGGGAAACTGAGGCCAGAGAGGACACTGGCATGTCAGGGCCTCTCAGCAGGGCAAAGCCTTGCCCAGGAGGTAGAGGGTCCAAGATGCTCAGACAGCAGCGACCTGAATACTGGGACTTGGGATCAAGCAACTGGACTGGTGGCGTGGCTGTAGGTCTGCTGCAGAGGCCCTGCTGGCTTTGTTCAGGCAGGTGGCCTGGTACTGTCTCCCTTCCCCCATCTGTTCCTCCGTTGGGGCCCAACACTCCCAGAGTGGAAGCAGATGTTCTAACACGGAGCAAGCAGGAGCAGCAGCCGCTGTCACCCAACACATCAAGGCAATTACTGCCTGCCTGCTCGGGGCCCAGCAGCTGCACCCTGGGGCAAGGGCTGCAGAGGCTTCTTCCTTGGTGAGAAGAGGTGTGGCCCAGTGGGAACACTTTTGGCCACCCCAGAGAGCCTCTACGGGCCCCTCTGGTCGCACTCAGCTGGAGCTGGAGTGCCTGGTGGGGCCCTCTATGGGCAAGAGACTCCTGCCACCTCCTGTTGTGGTCCCCTACCCTGCACCTTTGCAGCCCGCTAGTGAAGCCCCTTCTTCTGAGGGGAAGGTAGAGAGCTGAGGGTGGGACTGCATGCAAACTCTGATCCAAGTACCAGCACCACAGATCATGATAGAAAGGGGGCCACTGGGAGAGTGACAGTGAGACTGTTGGGCTGCCTGAGAACCAGGGTCCTTGTCCAACCCATTCCACTTGGTGTCATGCTGTGGTGCCACCTACCTCTGCCCCTGGCCCCCAGTCTGCCCTAGCTGCCCTGATTCTACCCCAGTGTCCCCCTTGCTTCCTGCATGGCCGCCAGCACTATGCCTTTGTTCTACTACTCTCTACTTCCCGTCTGAGTCACAGCTGCTGGAAAGACAGAGGGACACCCTGAGTCCAGGGATGGGGGCTCCGTGACCTTGGTTTGTCAGCCTGTCAAATGGGAGTCTTTCTGCAGTGATCACTGCTCAGGCCAGAGAATATCCTCCTAACTCTTAGAATGTGAGAGCAAGGGAGACTGAGGCTCGAAGGGGACGGAGAAGGGCGCCTCAGCTGGCTGGGGCAGGGAGCAGACATCCTGGCTCCAGCCCGGCTTGCCTCGGTGCTGCCTGCCTCGGTGTCTGCTGGGTCGGCTCCTGCTAGGAAAATCAGATGCAAAGCGAGTCTGTGCTGTCGTCCCTGTCGCTGGGCAGGGTCACTGCCTTGCCCACACCACTTACCAAACTGGTGACTCAGTTGGACAGGGGTCCCAAAGTTACACAAGAAGGGACCACCTTCACCCTGACCTCAGGTCACTCTGAGTGTCGGTTTGCCTGGTGGGGATGGCATGACTGATCTGCCCCAAGACATCCTTGGCCTCCCCTGCCCCACGAGGCTCCTGATCCTGGCTGAGCCTCTGCGGCTCCTGGGCCCTCCCTGTTCCAGGATGTGCTCCCTCCCTCTGGCTCTGTTACTGTTATTGTGCTCACTTATTGTTACTGCTGTGTTAATCTCTTCGCTCGTGTTAGTTTGTGTGTTAGCCACTCCATCCTCTGAGGAGTCTTTACCAACCCTGAGGGATATGAGGGCCAGAGGCCCCACGTATGACCTGCCTGCCCACCCCGCTGAGCTGCTCAGTGGGACAGACCTGCCACAGTGATCGGGAGGGTTGGAACACATGTCAGTGGGGCATGGGCCAGGTGTGCCCAGCAAAGAGAACTACATGGCAAAGGCCTGGAGGTGACAGAAGGCAGTGCCTGGCACGTGGAGTTGTCACTGGCTGTGATGGTGCCGGAGCAGCGGGAACAGTGAGCCAAAGCTGGGAGGGCAGGCCGGGCCCAGCCAAGGTGCCTTCTCCCTGGAGCTCAGGATGGGGAGCAGTGGAGAGAAGCAAGGCCCTGTGTCCCCCCCACAGTCCCCCGGTCTTCACACGTCTCTGGGGAAGGTGGGTTTCTGGGCTGCATCCCACCAGATATGGCCCTGTGTCTGGGAGGAAACCTGGGAATTTTCTCTTTTTTGACACCCTTCCGGGGCATCATCCCACAGGGTGTGAGCCATATTTAAGGAGGGCTGGGCAGGCCAGGCATCGTGGTCTTACATGTTTCCCGGCCCTTCTGAATTCTGGCTGCGTGGTCTTGGGACTAGACTTTACTTTTCTGAGCCACATTGCCCTCATCTGTAAAATGGGAGCAGAAGCCGTACCTTTGGGGCTGCTGTGACAATCATAGGAGAGAGTGCCAGCAAATCCCTCCGCTCTGGCCTAGGGGATATACAGGGTGAGTCTGCCAGGCCAGGGAAGCATTTTGAGTCAGTACAGTGTGTGTGTGTGCGTGTGTGTGTGTTTTACACTGTCTCCCAGGTCCTGGTCTCCGTTTGCTCGGGGCAGACCTGGGCACAGCAGACAGAGGGCTTGGCCTTGGGCCATGTCTGGAGACAAGAGTATGCTGCTGTGCCCATCCCAGGGCCTTGGCAGCTATGGCTGCATGTGGGAAGAGGGCTGCTGCCCTGCTGGAGTGTGCAGAGCTCCTTCCTGCCAGCTCTGCCCGGGCTCTGTGCTGGCAAGCACCAGCCGTAGAGCGGCGAGCTTGCATGTGTGAAAATGACAGGGTGACTCCTGCAGGGCTGGTTTCCGGTCTCCAGTCAGAGCCCCTGAACTCGAGTAGGGCAGTGGGGAGCCACAGTGGGTTACAGAGCTGTGAGAGGTGAAGTCTGGAGAGTCCACCATGGGGCACAAGTGTGGGTGCCCTGCCAGCTGCAGCCCCGCCTGCTCTGCTGCCCACCAGGACCGACTGCCTCCATGTCACTGTGCAGGTCGTGGGGTGGGTGAGTCAGCTTCCAGGACTAAAGGTAGCTGGGCCACTAGTTGCCTCCCTGTGTCGCCCCCTGGCCTGCTGACTGCCTGTGCTCTCTGTTCCAGGTGCTGGGGAGTCGGGGAAGAGCACCATTGTCAAGCAGATGAAGTAAGTGCTGTGGCCTCCAAACCTCTCCCCACTTCCCCAGGACCTTCTCAGAGGCAGTTATCCATCCTCAGGTCCCAGTGGGTTGGGGGCAGTTTTGTCCTCTCGGAAGTAGATCCCTGCAGGCCCCAGCGACCCCAGGTGGCCAAGTGAGGTCCCTGTGGTCTGTGGACATTAATTCCTGCCCCTTGGCTGCCAGGATCATCCATGAGGACGGCTACTCAGAGGAGGAATGCCGGCAGTACCGGGCAGTCGTCTACAGCAACACCATCCAGTCTATCATGGCCATTGTCAAAGCCATGGGCAATCTGCAGATTGATTTTGCTGACCCCTCCCGTGCGGTATGTGGACTCTCCCCCCTACCCTTGCCTCCCTCCCAAAAGGCCTCGGGGCAAGTTAACATCCTAGGGAACCTGAGAATAGCCCAGGCCAGGGCCCATTCCCGTGGCCTTCCTGCCCTTGTCAGGTGGGGTAGGGGTGAGCTCCTGCTACCGACTGACCATCCCCTGCTGTACCCAGGACGACGCCAGGCAGCTGTTTGCGCTCTCGTGCACGGCTGAGGAGCAGGGCGTGCTCCCCGAGGACCTGTCCGGCATCATCCGGAGGCTCTGGGCTGACCACGGCGTGCAGGCCTGCTTCAGCCGCTCCCGGGAGTACCAGCTGAACGACTCCGCTGCCTAGTGAGTACTCTGGAGGCGGGGCAGGGCCACAGTCTGCACTACAGGCCAGACTGAGGGCCTGAAGCATCCTCAGAAACATAGTGAAGCTGAGGACTGTCATCAAGGCCTTGGTGGGTCTGGGTTTGGAGGGGAGACATGGAACCTAAAGGCCAAAAGGAGGGCGAGGCAGGGTGGCTCGTAGAGTCCATTCCCTCCAGGCCGATTGTGTCTAATCTGTCCTTAGACAAAATCATTCTAAAGAAACATTTGCTACCATCTGCTCTGTGCAAGGTCCTGTGGGAGGCTTCAGGGACCCAGGGACAAGTCCCCAAGCATCGACAAATTAGGGTATCAGTGTTGTGGTGGCAGTTGGGGTAGGTCCAGCAAGGGACTGCTTCCTCTGTGGAGCTCTGAACCCAGCTTAGGGGAGGAACGGGAAGGACTTTCAGGCAGGGCACAGCGTGTGCCGACTCCTGGCTGTGCTGGAGGTCACAGAGGAAGTTCATGCTGGCTGGGGAGGGAGACACGGGGGGAGGGGATGGTCTGGGAGATGACAGATGTGTGCAGGCAGGGCGGAGCCGAGGACTTCAGCTCCAGCCCTTGCTGGCCCCTGGCTGAGCCCAGGACTCAGCTGAGGAATCATAGGGCATCCCAGGAGTCCCAGAAGCCCAGCCCCCAGGGTGAGGCCCTGACCTCCTTCTCTGAAGTACCTGCCATAGGCCATTCCTGGTGCAGGGTGCTGAGTTCCCCATGGGGAATAGGACAGACAGGCTGGCGGCCAGTGCTGATGGCTGCAGGGCTGTGGGGGAAATCACAGGCTCTGGATGGTGCCACCCAGATAGACTGCCAACTCTGTACACTCCCCTTTTCTCTCCTACCTCTGCTTAAGCCAGCCCCTCTGTCTGGAACAGCTCTCCCACTCCCACTGCCCATCCAATCCCGAGCCCATCCGGAGAGGGGCAGGACCTCAGGAGGGTGGGTGGGAGGCGGTCTCACCTGGCCATGATTCCTAAGCCCTGTTCCAGTTATGTGGACAGCCCCCGCCCCTGCAGAAGTCTGAACACCATTGTGAGCTGTGCAGTCACAACCAAACACAGGGGCCTCCAGACCTCAGCTGCCTCTCCTGGAGGTCACGGAGACTCAGCACCATAGAACTTGTAGTGCCTAGAGGAAGGGAGGGTGGGCCTTGTCAACCATTGCCACCTCAGTGCCCAGGATACTCCAGGAGGGTGGACATAGAGCCACCTTCCAGGCCACTCCCCACTCCTCCTTGGCCCTGCTCTTCAAGATCAGCGAGGGTGGGGAGTGGATTGGGACACTATAGGGGACAGGGACATTCCATCCTTCACAGACATCCTCCAAGGCTGCCGTGGGGCAGTGAGTCCCTCAGGTGAGCCCACCTGTTGAAGAGAAGGGAGAGACTGATGTGGAACCCACTGTGGGGCCTCCAGATTGGAGGCGCTCAGTAGGGGGCGGGGCTTGTATAGAGGTTACGGCACATGCGTCACAGTCCCCCATGGCTCTTCCTGTTTTTCTGTTCTGTCTCTGTGTCTCTGAGGTCATTTCCCTCTGGCCAAGCTGCTGGTAGGAGCCAAGGGCAGGCCCCAGCAGCCCTGCCCCAGGAGCAACACATGGGCATTGACAGGCACTGGGCAGCGGCTTGGAGGCCTAGACCCAGGACCCAGGGCGCAGCAAGGATATTGAGGCAGGCAGCAGAGCTGGCCCCAGGGCCTGGCCAGGGCGAGTTGATACTAATTAAAGGAGCTGGTAATGTGAAGCCCCTGGGACCCCGCCAGGCAGGTGTTGATGGCCACCCCTGAGGAGCCTAAATTTTCTTGGGTGCTGGGAAAAGAGCCCAGTGGACCTGGCAGGCCCCAACCTGTCCAGCCCCGCATCAAGGGACATGCCAGGTTGCTCTGCGGCTGATGCCATAATGTTGCTGTTAGCATCTTGAACCCCTCACTGAAGAACTGCTCTGCCCCCTCCCACCCCCCTCACCTGCAGCCTTGCCACCCTGGGTTGTCAGGCAGGCCTGGCCCAAACCTGGGGGCTGGAGCTGGGCTGGGCTGAGCTGGGCTGGTTGGCCACACAGCTACACCTCCTCCCAGGCCTGTACCACAGGTGGGAGCCGAGGGATTCTAGTCCAGGTTTCCACACCTGAGAGATGAATGCGCAGGGGTCTCTGTCAGGAGGCCCATGCTGGCCCCCACTGACCCCCACCCCCACCCCGACTCCAGCTACCTGAATGACCTGGAGCGCATCGCACAGAGTGACTACATCCCCACCCAGCAGGACGTGCTACGGACCCGTGTGAAGACCACGGGCATCGTGGAGACGCACTTCACCTTCAAGGACCTACACTTCAAGTGAGTGGGCAGAGTGGAAAGGCAGGGCCTGCCAGCCTGAGGTGACAGAGGGAGGGCCCCTGCCTCCAGGGCCTGCTCATGGCTGTGCTGGGAACCAGGAGCTGGTCCTGGATTCCCCAGCCCCACTCTGAGGTTTCTCGAGGCTGTGCAGTTGCCAGCGGCTCGCATCCTCTGCTGACCCTGGCGGTGTGGCCGCAGCCTGCCCAGCTGCCCAGCACTGAGCCTGCCAGGCAGACACTCCCTGGCCCAGTGAGGGGGCAAGTGGACAATGTGGAGAATCCACGAAGGCAGCTGCCCCACTCTGAGCAGGCTCGGTCCTCAGCCAACCTATGGAGTGGAACGGGGATCCTCTCCCAGAACCTCCTTCGTTCTCTGCAGCTAAGGTGACCCTGTGTCCACAGGATGTTCGACGTGGGCGGCCAGCGGTCTGAGCGTAAGAAGTGGATCCACTGCTTTGAGGGTGTCACTGCCATCATCTTCTGCGTTGCCTTGAGCGCCTATGACCTGGTGCTAGCAGAGGATGAGGAGATGGTGAGGCCATGGCCACTGAGGGGTGGGGCGGGGTGGGCTGGGCCAGGGGCTGGTGCTGACCGCACTGTCCCACCCCCAGAACCGAATGCACGAGAGCATGAAGCTGTTTGACAGCATCTGTAACAACAAGTGGTTCACGGACACGTCCATCATCCTCTTCCTCAACAAGAAGGACCTGTTTGAGGAGAAGATCACACACAGCCCCCTGACCATCTGCTTCCCGGAGTACACAGGTGTGGGGGGCCCTGGGCCTCTGGGAAGCGCTGGTGGGGACCAGTTGAGCCACGAGCGCCCCCTGCTGGACGGAAGGGTAATTGTGGGGCCCTTGGTCCAGCTGGTGCCTCTGGGGCTCAGGTACTTGGGCCTGCACACTCGGGGCCCTTCTTCCCCCTACAGGTACATGTGGCCTCCTCCACACACTCAGGTGTGCGAGGGCACTCACACAGTCACCCTGTGCACATGCTGCACACTGCGTGCTTGTCGGTCCACGCGGGACTGCCTGCCTGCCGCCCGCAGAGCACAGGCCCTCACCATTCTGTCTCCCGCAGGGGCCAACAAGTACGATGAGGCCGCCAGCTACATCCAGAGTAAGTTTGAGGACCTGAACAAGCGCAAGGACACCAAGGAGATCTACACACACTTCACGTGTGCCACTGACACCAAGAACGTGCAGTTCGTGTTTGATGCCGTCACTGATGTCATCATCAAGAACAACCTGAAGGACTGCGGCCTCTTCTGAGGGGCAGCGACCTGTGAGGATGGTGAGCCAGAGCGGGGCCAGGCAGGGAGCTGAGGAGGGACAGAGTAGGGCCACTGAGCCCAGAGAAGGGACGGAGAGGGTCCAGGTGAGGGTAGGGAACCCGAGTGCTCAGTAGGAGAGCAGACGACAAGGGGGCGCACAGGCTGGTGAATCCCAAGAGCCGCGTAGTGCAGGGCACTGAGGAGGTGGCACAGGCAGGGCTGGGCTCTGTTCTGCCCAGTGGTTCAGGCAGCAGACGTGCCTGGCTGTGCACTGGGACAGAACTAAAAGACTATTCTGCCTTCCTTGGGGAAAACTCACTTCCTCACCAAGCAGGCCACTGGCCTAGCCTGAAGGAGGCTGCATGACGGTCGGGCCCTGCCACCTGCTACCCAGTGTGACCAGCTCTGCTCAACCCTGCCATCTTTGCCTGGGACCTCTCCGAGGGTCCTGGGCCTCAAGAGGCTGGCTCCACTGGGCCTGGGGAGGTGGGAAAGACTCTGCCAGTGCTCAGACCCACCTCCCCCCTGTAACCCAGCAACAGGCCCTGGCTTCTGGGTGGTCACTGTGTCCCTGGTAACAAGTGGGGTAGGGGATGTGGGGGAGTTTCATTGTCTAAGGAGGCAGGAGGAGACTCACACAGTGGCTACCTCCCAACCCATGCACTGACTGTCCCCCACCTCCAGGGCCGCCGCGAATCTGCTCCCCCCAGTTCCTGAGGAAGATGGGGCAAGAGGACCACACACTCCCCACCTGCCCCTCCCCAGCCGCTTTTCCCCTCTTTCTCTGTTCTTGGCTCCCCCTGTCGCCTCCCTCAGCTCCGGAGACTTGGGGGAGGGGTTGCCACAGGCCTCCCTGTTTGAAGCCCACCTTTGTCCCAGGTGCTGGGAACAGCGGGGGTATTCCCTTCCTGGGTATCTGTCCTGGATTTAACCCTTGTCTTGTCCTGTGACCCGGGAGGGGAACATCCAGATCCGTGTCTGAGGGGCACGTATTTCTTCAGCCTGGGACCCCCGGCTTCGCCCAGCACCAGCCCCTGACCCAGCCCAAGTCCAGATGTTTACAGGGAGCCTCCTGCCCACCCCACCCCTCAGCCGCTCGGAGGCCCCAAAGGAAAAGCACAAGAAGTGTGAGACGCCACCATTCCTCAGACCACAGTCCATCTGCTCATTCTCGTAGCTTTTTAAAAAAAGGAAAGGAAAGGAAAAAAAAAATTGCAAACCTAGAAAACTTTTTAGAGAAAAAACTATTTAAAACCATCCGATCCTGACCAGCTCCCACCCAGCCCCATTCCAGTGATTCCGTGCCTTGAGTGTGTCTGCGTGTTTACACCCATCCCTCTGCTGGCTGTCCCTGTGCGGGCAGCGACCCTGCCCTGCCCCCACACAGTCGGGCTCCAGGAGCTGTTCTGGACAACTGCCAATGGGAGGGCCTGCCCCAGTGGCCCTGGGCCCCAGCTCCATTAACCTACATGTAGCCCCTTAGCGCTAACCTAGGAACCGTTGCTGCCTGCTGAGGGGTCCTGCCCCTCCTGCCCTCCCCCCAGGTTGGGTCCTTCAGCGTTGAACACTTCCTTGCTTTTTTCACGTTTTATGGAATTGTTCACCTGGTTTGAAATAATAAAATGTAGAAAGAAAAATACCAAGAACTGCTGAGCTTTGTTTTTTCCAGGAAGCAGAGACTCTGTCTGAGATGTGCCGAGTTGACGGTAGTGTGGATCCAAACCCTCACTGTGACAGGGCCCTGGGTGCTCGCTCTCCAGGTCAGACTCAGGCCCAGTACTCAGCACTTTATGGGTTTCCAGTGTGGATGCATCTTACCTGCTCAGGCCTGTGTCCCCCCTCCTCCCAGCCCCTCCACAGCCCTGGGGGTGGGGCAGCCTTCCAGCCTTGCAGAGCAGCAGGGGCACATTTGTAAGGACTCATCCACACTGGGCCCAGGAGAGGTGCCCAGTGGGTCTAGTGTGGAAGGAAATTGACTGAGCTCCCAGCCCGAGACCCAGAGACGGTTGCTGTGGTCACAGGGCCAGGTTGTCTGCAGCCCCCTGTACACCTTCCTGTCTCCCAATCGCACATGCTGCCCAGGGCCCTGCCCAGAACTGAGACCCCCTGGCCTGACTAAACAAAGTTGAGGACATAGGGGCCTCTGCCCCAGAGGTGCCCCTCCAAACCTGATGTGGGGGTAAGGGCCAGGCAGGCAGCTGCCCTTCAGTGTGAGGTGCCCTGGGCGGCTGCAGGGCTTCAGCTACTCTGGGTCTAGGGCTCAAAGGCTGCGGGGGCTTTCGGGAGGCTGTGGGGAGCGCACGCACGTTGCAGAAGGAAACAGTGGCTGACAGGGCCAGGGGTCCGTGGGGTGGGCCAGGC